AACTTAAAAAACATGTAAGCCAACAAATAAAACATATCAGCAAATAAAAAAGACTATATAAGAAAAATAAAAAAACTATTCAAACAACAAATAATATATATTAAAAACGTATCAGCTGTCAAATAAATCATAAAAGCTAACTAAGATAACAAATCAGCTAATATAAAATCCATATAAGCAAGCAAAGATAACATTTTAGCTTATAGCATTTGAGATTTCAGCCAACTTAAAAAAGATGCAAGCCAACAAATAGAGTATATCATCAAATAAAACAAATCATATCAGCCAAATAAAGTAAAATCACCAAACAAAAATTTATCATCAAAAACATATCAGCCAGACAAATAAATCATATAAGCAAACTAAAAGAACATATTAGCCAACAATTAAAAAAAATAAAAAAAATAAAAAAATCAGCAGCTTAAATTTAAACAATCATAATGATTATACAAGCAACATAATAAATATATATCCCATCAATATCATCATATAAGCCATCAATGTGATTATATAAGGCAGCACTATACATATATCATCCATCAATATCACCATATACAAGCCAACAAAAAAATCTTATCACACAGTATAAGCCAAAATAAAAAATATATTAGGCAAATAATAAAACATTTCACACAACAAAAGATGTCAAGTAAAAATATAAAAATATCAGGCAACACAAAAATTAGATAAACTAAAAGTTCAAACAATCTGAATGCCTCGGCAAGGCTAGCCAGCATGGTCCATCACAGCATAGCAAGCCTCGCATGCTTGCGAGCCGCTATTGCTGTTGGGCTATGTTGCTGCCATCGCAAGCCCAAGCGCAAGCCGGGCTGCTGTTGTTGGTGCTTGCTAGCCACAACATATGCTAGCAAGGCCTAGCTAGCTGCGCTAGTTGTTGGGTCCTTGCTTGCGATGCTTGTGCAACATGCACTCGGCCAGTAGCCCCAGCAAGCCCACGCACGTGGCTTGCTAGGCTTGCGGCCAGTGAAAGGCTTGCACCAGCAACAAGCTAGCCCTAGCCCTTGCTCGGCTAGGCCAATGTGAGGCTAGGACCGTATGCCTTGACTTATTGTTTGACTTATTTTCTCGTCTTCTCGATTCATTGAATTGACTCGACGCATGACGCTCGGTTTCGACGCGTTAAGCTTGGAATTCGATGTCTTTGTTCATAAAACTCTATTGACTTATTTAATCCTTCAGATTAATTCGTCGTTTTGGTTCGGTTACTCGATTGGGTGTGACCCGAAGCATTCAGTCAAGATTAAGCTGTAATATTAATTATGCATTAATATTACTGATCGGAAGCGGCCTCCAGCTATGCATTTCGATCACTTGACCTCACTGAAATACTTAGCTTTCTAATAATTCTAAACCCTCTATCGGAATAATACACTTGTTCGAAGGACTCTATTCCTTTCATAACTAACACATAGCAAGCAGCAATGTTCTAGCAAAAGTAGCATAGCAGCAGTAGGAGGCAGAGCAGAAGTAGCATTGCAACAGCAGGCAGCATAGCAGAAGTAGCATAGCAGCAGCAAGCCATGGCAGGGCATCAGCTGCAGTAGCAGCCTTGGCACGGAAGCAGCTGTAGTAGCAGCAACTGCAACAGTAGCAACCTTGGCAAAGCAGCAGCAACAGCTAAAGAAAAGCAAAATACATACCAAAGTACATATTCAAAACGAAATAACAATAGATCAAACTCCCAAAGAAAATCATGAGATCAAAGTAAGGGAATTTCAGTTTAAAGTAAATAGAATAATATAAAAAGTAAATAGAAAAAAAGCCTAACAAGTCAATAAACAAGAAATCTTTGCAAGCTAGAAAAAACACCATCCGGAAGGTTGGAATAGACTAATCTTCTCACTCTGTCAGCAAAATTCCTAGATGTAGTCTCAATAACATCACCTAAGTATGATTGTTGACCTCCTTTTCTACAAAACGGATATACAACTTTCTGGATTTCTCCTTGACCAAATGATGTTTTTGCTTCACTTGCAATTCTTTTTCTTACTTTCTCATCTGGCTAATGTTTGATCAAGGGCAATGTTGTTGGTTCAGGCTGCCCTCTAAATGAAAGGTGATGAAAGTACACAATCTGAAGAATCAGGACACATCCACTGATTCCTGGTCTTGATTAATTATGCTTGTTTTTCTTGAAGCTCCCCATTGCTTTGCACAAGTTATTGAGTACATAACCAGACCAATCTAGGTTACGTATTTCTTTTACATTGTTTGCATAGCTGATTATCTTGTAATCTATCACTCTATTTGCAATAGCGGCCAAGAATGTGCTGCAAACATACATTACAAAGAACCTTTTAAAATCATCACCTCCTTCCTTTAGACTCTTTATTTTGTTCTCCAAATAATTCACAAAGATGTCATCGCTTTCTGCAATTCCTAACTTCTTCTTCCACTCATTCTGAATCATGATATTTGCTATAGGTTGCTTCCTTAACTAATAAGTCAACTTGTTCTCTGTTACATTTGGAAGCAAGAAGACATCTTTAACATCATAGGAACTTACAGAGAACTTCTTCATCATGTCAATCATACAACTTTTTTCATTGAAATGATGATAAAGCCATGGAAGCATTTTTGTTGAAACTTTTGTCAATTTTAGTTTAAGCAAGCCTCCAAATCCAACACTTATAACATCTGATCTCTGTCCCTCACTGAAGTCATTGATAATATCAAATACTATATTGGGTCTTCTCTGTGTTTTCTTGATGTTCAGATTACCATCATCATTGTCACTTCCTTCTTTAACCTCTATAACTTCTTGTACCTTTTTATCTGAGCTGTCAAGCTTCATTTTCTTCTTTAAATGAGCTTTTGTATTTTTTCTGTCTTCTTCTGATGATCCATCAGATTCTTCATTGTTATCTTCTACTGGTTCGTAATTGCTATTTTTAACTTCAGCTTTTGTTCTTTTTTTGGTTCCTATATTTTGTTAAACTAGAACATATTAAAACATTTACTTTTAAAATTAAAATATTCAAGAAAAACAACCTAATTCACGACATATCAATCTAACCTTAGAACCAAATACAATAAGCTTTTATAAACCTTCTAAAGGTTCTTGTTCCTTAAGCCTTCTCTTTATTAGTATTTGCTTTTTTGAAATCCCTTGAAGTTTAGCACCTAATACAGTTAAGTTTAATAATGAGTTTCTGTTAATACAAGGAGTGCATAAATACAAAATATGTTAAATAACTTTAAATACATATATATTTACTTCATAAGCATTTTTATTTACTTTATTAAACTGATCATTTACTTTTTATATTCAATCATGTAATTGTATGCATTATAATATTTATATTGATAGCATAGACTTATAAAGGCAAATGGTTTACTTTATAAATGTTTCTATTTACTTTATAAATTGAATCTTTTATTTTAAGATAATATACCTTTAATTGGAGATTTCTTTGAATTTGCAGGTTTCTTTGGAGATATCTTCTGTGCTGCAGGAGCTTTTTTCCCTGTAAGATCTTCCTTTTGAGGTTTCTTTGCTGCATTAGGTTGTGTTGAAGGTTTTTTTTTTTTTTAACATTTTTCTTTGGACTTTTCGTCATTTTAATCTGCATGCAATACAGAACAAAAATGAATCATACTTTCTCGATTTATACTTGATGGTTTTATACTACCTGATATATATACTTTTAAATCAACTCTTGTTATTATAATAACAATAACAAATGATTTCTATACATGCAACATCTCGAAACAAAAAACCAATCCTCAATTCAACCATATCAATTTCTTGAGTTATACACAAGCCATAATAGCTACAGATCATACAATAATTCATTAACTTTTAATCAATTTAAAGTTACTTTTAACTAATTTCTATCTACTTGTAAAAATAAACCACTCAAAATTATAGGAAACTACTAAAACTCAAAGGAAACTACTCTAAGTTAATAATTTTATTTTATTCACTTTTAATTATATTATATCAACTTTTAATTGATTTCTTTCAACTATTATCAACAATTACTCAAAAATTAACTAAAATTAGTCGAAATTAGTAGCAATAGAACAAAAATTACTCAAATTCGTAAAAATAAATAGATCTAAATTTTTATCAATATTCTTTACAAAAATCTGATATAAATTTTATACCAAAATTCGTAAAAAAAAAAACTAATCTAACAAAATTCGTAAAAAAAAATGAATAAATAAATAAATAAAAAAAAACCTTTGATTTAACTTCGAATTAACTTTCAATCAATTGCAAACTAGATTACAACAAATTTAATCAGAAATTAAAGTAAATCAAACGAAATTGGAATAAAAACAAACAAAATTCCGAAAATACCTGAATATCAAGCAAATTCAACTTCGAAACATAAAAATTGAACTTCGAACTACTCCGATTCAACTTATGCTACTTTAAATGCAAGAAAAAAACACAAAAATAAGTAAGAAATTGCACAAAATTAGACGAAAGAGTATGAACTTCAAATTTTCGAAGTAATACCTAATTTTCGCCAATTTTTGCTTATTTTCGCAATTTTTGTTTCGAAATTGAAGAAATGTAAATGATAGAACTTGAATTGTGCTTATATAGCGTAATTAAGCAGTTGAAAATGGCGGTTATGACGATTTTTGGAAGATTTTGAGCAGTTTTAAGCATTTCAAAATGGCGGAGGAGAGATAGAGAAGAGAGAGAAAATGGCAAAAAGAGAGAGAGAGAAAAGAGAGAAAATGGCGCTTGAAATTTCTGAATGAATTTGGGCTGTTAGATCGCGCGCCTCCTCCTTAGATCTGACGGTCTAGATTAGTTCTTAGTTCCTGTTATTCGGCTAGTTCTCACAGTAACTTGTATCTATATGAATTGAGATCATGTGAGAACCAAGGTGAATAATAAGAACTAGGAACTAATCTGAGCCCTTGATCCATTGATCCAACGGCTGAGATGGCGTCCGCGTTTTTAACTTAGTAATGGCATTTTGGTAAATTATTGTATTATACCCAAACATATCCACCGTTCTTTTTCACTTCTCTCTTCCTCCAAATTCTCTGTGATCTGAGGCGATTTTCTTGGTTTCCGTCACGATTTCTTCGCTTTTGTTCATCAAATTCTAGTGTGTTTTCGTTAAGGTATGCAAATTTCGATCTATTAGTATGTTGATTTCTCGCTTCAGTTTAAGTTTGCTCGATTTGGTTTCAATTAATTCGAGTTTGAATTTAGGGTTTTTGCTATTTTTAATTTTATTTGATTAATCTGTGTTTTTGCATTTTATAATCAGATTAAATAGTCGAAATTTCGGGGGTTTTTTGCTAGTTTTTGTTTGATTTATTGTGTGAATTTTGATTGTTGCATGTGCTGTAATTTTAATTGCGTTTTTTTGAACGTTTGGGGGTGTACGAGGTTGCAATGCGGTAAGGGTAATTTTGTTTTGGTTGCTTGGGGAGCTGCTTTGTGGGGATGGTTTTAGGTGGAAGCACTTGGGGTGTTGCGTGGGGAGCTGCTATGTGGGGCAGTTGCCTTGAGCTCTATGTTATTGGTGTGACTATTTATAGTCAGGCAGTAGTTTTGTGTTGCTGTGTGTTGTTGGTTGTTGTTGCGTGTTTGAGCGAGGGACGGTAGGTGGTGTGCCAATGGTTTAATAATAGTGCAAACCCAAATTTTGATCCTTGTTTTTTAGGTTAATCGAGTGTGTGTGTTGGGGGGGGGGGGTGTTAGTACAGTTATAGAAGAAAGGTCAACAAGTTAGCATATGAAAGGCCATTTTGGAAAATTTCTACCTATGGCTTGCATGACGATAACTTCACTTTTTATTTTTGTTCCATTCGAATGATTTGCTGTTGCAGGGTTGATTGTTGATTAATAATTCAGTTTGATACTTCATATCAGAAGTTTTTTGTTTTTGTTTACTTTTGAGAAATTTTTATTTACTTTTGAATTATTTTTCTTTATTTAATGTTTAATATACACTAGTCTACTAGCTCAATAGGTAGAGTATTGTGCAAGTGCACAAAAGATATGGGTTCAAATCCCATGTAGGTTCTTCTACTGCTTCGAACCATTTGATTGTAAGTACACTTTTAAGATTTATTTACTTTAATGATATTTTCATTTACGTTTTAGCGTTTTCTATTTATTTTTCAGTAATTTTGATTTACTTCTGACATATTTTGCTCTACTTTTGATGTCTTTTCGAGCTATTTTGATTTACTAGCTCGAAAAGGTCTATGGGGAGTAGTGACAGATAACGTAGGATATGTACTGGCTTCTACTTGTCTAAAGATAGAAGGAGTCTTCGATGTGGAGGTGGTTGAAGCTCTGGGTGCAAGACATGCATTACAAGTAGCATTTGATGCAGGCCTTCAAAGATTAGTACTCGAAACAGACTGCCTGAAGCTTTTCACTCATTTGAGTAAAAAGATTGTTGAGCCTACAATTTTTGGTCTGATCGTGAAGGATATATTAGCTATTTCATCCTTAGGTGCTACTGTTAAATACTCCCATGTTAGAAAACAGGGCAATACAGTTGCTCACATACGGCCAAGCTTAGCAATCATTCACTGAAATGCGGGTTTGGCTAGAAGAGGCACATGTTGAGATTATGGGCTTTGTAATATCTAATTATGCTGTTTTGATGAATTAATAAACACTATTGAGCTCCATATATTTTTTTCTTGTAACCATATGAATGTCAGCTATCATGTAACCATATGAATGTCAGTTACCGGGTTTATATGCTCATTTATCTCTTCAAGCCATTTGATTGTTGATACACTTTTGAGATTATTGTATTTACTTTTGAGTTTTTCTATTTTACTTTATAGTTAATATTATTTACTTTTAATATAAAACTGATTCATAATGCCTTTGTCAGCCTTCTTATCTATCCTTTGCATAAACTAATCGAAGAAAATGAGCAATTTCATGAATTAAAAAAGATATCAATCACTCTTACCAATATTCTACTAGGAAAAATCATCACATATACTTAAGAAATATTTTGATTTTTCCTTTCTTTGAAGAGAAATATTTTGATTTTTTATTTGTAAATGATTTGTTATTATTTACATTTGAGATGATTGGATTTTTTAGTTTTTTATTTTTTAATTTTTAATTTTTTTGTTTTGTTTATTTTTAATTTAAGTTGATTTACTTTTGAGATATTTTAATAACTTTAGAGTGTTTAATATATACTTTTAGAGATAACCTATGTAGGAATCGAACCTACGCCTCTATGCATCCACATAATGCTCTACCACTTGAGCTAATAGGTTTATATTAAAGTATTTTTTGTTTACTTTTAGAGACCATTGATGTTGTTTCATCAATTTGCTTTTAGAGACCACTAATGTAGATTCATCATTAGAAAAGTTCCTCAGACCATCATTAGAAGAGTATATATGAACAAATCTAGATTTATTTGAAAGGAGCAAAGGAAAAAAAGACATAAAGTCATATATACACACAATGTATATGCAATCAGTGGCGGATCCAGGATTTTCGGGATAGTGTGTCACCATCAATTATTGATCATTTGTGAAAGTACAATTTGTTCATAATAATTTCAATCCAAAAATTATATATATATATATATATATATATATATTTCACCAAATTGATTTCAATCCAAAAATAGGACACAAAAATTCATACCACAACCAAATACAGTACTTAAGAATTTCAATTTTACAAGTCAAAAATATTACAAATAACATGTTATAAACAAATGGTACAATAAAATTATTATATTGAATTAACTTTATGATTTTTTAGTTAATTGATAAGCTTTATGGGGAAATATTAAAATTGGTTGTACAAATATAAGATATAAAAAGGGAAAAAAAATTATACAAAAAAAAGTGAGATAACTTAAGAGACCAGTTATTAAATATAACTGGTCTCTTTAATGAAAAAAGAAAGTAGCGCAAAAAAATTGCGAAATGCAATAGCAGCGAGACCTCTTATATAAATAACAGGTCTCTTTAATATTTAAAAAAAACCACAGCAAATCTTTTGTAGCAATAGCAGCATTAAAGAGATCGCCTATCTTAATAAGAGGTCTCTTTAATATTGTTTGTTGTTACCAATAGCAGCATCAAAGAGACCACCTATCTATAATAAGGGGTCTCTTTGATATTTTATTTTTAAAAAAAATACTGTGTCACCGGACCCACTATGACTAAAGGTGGGTCCGCCCCTGTATGCAATAGATAACTCACGTTTCATATAAATAATCTACCTCCTTGAAAGTGAAAATAAGTAGGACACCAAAAGGAATTGAGAGAGTGTTATTTACAGGACAATCGTAAATCCCTAAGAAGAAATATATTTAACGCCTATAATTAACTCTTGGGTCTCTATGGTATCAAAACTGACAATTATATGTAGCTCACAAAACAATGGATATATAGAATGATCATGAATGTCAATGTCATAGAGAATAAAGCTAAGCACTCAGATTTTTATACTCCGTACAAGTTCCTCATGTCCCAACTCTTTAGTAGTGCCAATAAGGTATATGGGCACCAGAACACCAGAACCTTAAGCTATTTACAACATTCTACTATCCTTACATATAGTGAGACTAGAGAAGAATAATGCTAGATCCAATAAGGATTGTACAGGCCAACTAACCAACCATGATTGTAGAGCTCAATTCTCGATTGGCAACTAAAATAATGGGAAGCAGGATAGGATATTGGTGCATATAAATTAGCCCCTCCAAATACATTCGCAATCCAAGCTCCTCTTCAACGCAAACAATAATTATTCACTCCTTCATAGGATCAATCTGATGTAAATCAACAAGCAGACTGTGTCGGAGCATTTTGTCGAACAATTGTTGTGCATCAAAATATCTATTACGCTACTTTTAGAGAAAAATAGTTTACTTTTGAACAATTTTTGTTTACTTAATCTAACTGATTTTCTATTTATGAATTTTGGCTTACTTTAACGAGCTAGATTTATAAACCTAGATTGTTAAAGTAAAATCCGAATTGAATTACTTAAATCTAGTTGATAACGAGTTAGATGAAAAAGTTTAGAAATCTAATTCAACTAAAATCACAAAATTAAACCTTCTAGATCTGTATATATATTTTTTGAGGAAATCGACATAACTATACATTCAAAAATCTAATCCAACATTATCAAAGTTTTAATTGAATAATTCAAAAACAAATCTATAATCTAATTTCGACTGAATTTGCAATCGTTGTATTGAGATTTCGCAACAAATTAGTTACGAACTTGCAGATTTAAGCTGCAAATTGATAGGAAATGTTCCGATGTATGATGTATCACTGTAGAAGAACACATTATTGAACTCAAAAGCAAACTCGTCAGACAAACACCAAAACACACGAAATTATTCATCAAACCACTGAAATTTTCAAACGATTCTAGCATCAAAATTCACAGAAAAGCACAGACCAAAAAAAAAAAAAAAAAAAATTGGAGAAACAAAATTTGAGCCTTAATTAACAAAAAATTGCAGACCAAAATTATGCATCACAAAAATTACAAACAAAAAATTGTTAGGATTAATTCATAACATATACTTTAATCTCCATATCAAATTAATTGGTAAATCTTAATCACAGAAGCGTACCTGATTCCATGACAATTGATCGAGTCCCTTCTTGACTATGCGTCTTCTAGTAGATACACACTCTCGGGTTTTCTCTCTATTGATAGAATATATTGAGTCTGTTGTATGTACTACTAGGGACTATAACCCTAAATGTTTATTTATATAGATTCCCTTCTCTAATCCGCCCATCATGTATTAGAAAAGGTTCAATGGTCTCTACACATAAAACTAAACTCATACTCTATGAAAGACGTAACAAGCCCAACAATAATAATTACTTAAATGGATCACTTTATTTTTGGGCTAAACTATATGATAGTGTATAAATACGATCATAATCGTATAGTCCACATACATTATTGTATTTAGATCTATAAATTTCTTACAATCTCCCACTTGGACCAAATACAATAACAATTTTGTGGTTCTTGATAATTGCATTATACTTTAAAACTTTATGAGCTTAAAATACTATCATTTCCAAACGTCTTTAAACAATTCGGTCCATCAATTATATCAACGTAGAGTCAAAGAAATTTAAGCTACAATTAATGTAACTAGACCCATCAATGGCCACAATGTTAACACAATCAACGACATGAATCAAGCATAGGTGTATAGCATGGAAATAACATAATTGTGATCCAAAATGTCTATTTCTAACTGGTCCACTTTAAACTTTAGCAAGATCACAATATGATCTAATAGAAGAGTAAACCAAACTGAATACTTTATTTCTGCAGAAAATACTTAAAACCACAATACTCAAAATTTATTTATGTCATACAAGCTATAAAATAACAAACTCCCACTAAAACTAGATATCCTTAGGTGGCATGACACCCATACGAGCAGTGTGCTCATGAAATACTTTGGGTGGTAAACCCTTCATAAGCAGATCCACAATCATGGAGTTTGTGCTAATATGCTCTATGGACAATTGTTTACTCTCCACTCTTTCCTTCACAGCTCTAAACTTGACATCAATATGCTTTGATTTTGTCAAGCTTTTGTTATTGTTGGCATACAATACTGCTGACCTGTTGTCACATAACAATTTGAGTGGTCTATCAATACCATTCACTATGCGTAGACCTGTGACAAAATTCCTTAACCATAATGCATGGTTGGATGCCTCATAACAAGCTATGAATTCTGCTTCCATGGTGGAAGTAGCTATAAGTGTAAGTTTGACACTTTTCTAAGAGACAACTCCTCCAGCTATGACAAAGATGTTGCCAGATGTGGATTTCAGGCTATCTTGACATCCAGCAAAGTCAGAATCAGTGTATCCAATGATCTGAAGTTGATCTGACCTTCTGTAAGTGAGCATGTAATCCTTTGTTCTCTGCAAATACCGCATAACCCTATTTACAACTTTCCAATGATCAAGCCCTGGATTGCTTAGATATCTGCCCAACATTCCAACAATGTATGCAATATCTGGACGGGTACAAACTTGAGCATACATAAGGTTCCCTACAACTGATGCATAAGGGATCTTCTTCATTTCTTTATTCTCAAAGTCATTCTTTGGGCATTGTGTGAGACTGAACTTGTCTCCCTTAGCCATAGGGGTATCACCTGGTTTACAGTCTTGCATGCCAAAACTTTTCAAAACTTTCTTGATATAGCCCTTTTGTACAATCCAAGAGTGCCTAGATGGAAATTTCGATGAATTTGTATCCCTAACACAAAAGAGGCATCCCCAAGATCTTTCATCTCAAAAAGTGATTTGATAGAAATCTCTTGGTTTCGTGCAAATAGAATATATCGTGTCCAGCAAGAAATATGTCATCAACATATAAAACTAAGAAAACATGCTTACTCCCACTGAACTTATGGTACACACAATCATCAACTGCATTTGTCTCAAAACCATGAGACATAACAACTTGATGAAACTTGAAATACCATTGACGAGAAGCTTGTTTGAGTCCATAGATGGATTTCTTTAATTTGCAAACCATTTTCTTTGAATCTCCCGAAACAAAGCTTTCTGGTTGCTGCATATAGATAGTTTCCTCAATGTCACCATTGAGAAATGTTGTCTTAACATCCATCTGATGTAACTCAAGATCATAATATGCTACAAGTGCCATCATAATCCTAAAGGAGTTTTTAGAAGAAACTGGTGAATAAGTCT